AGGACCTGTGATTACATGGTAAACAACTGGAGTGTCTGCCACCCTGCCAGTGCTATCTTTGAAATAATTCCTTCTTTCACAACTACAGAAACTCAGGTTAAATGAATGTTTTTGTTATCAGGAACGTCTTCATGATCACAGCATGTCAATGGAGGTAGAGAGTTGTACCTAATCCCTGAAGTACTGGGCTGGGTGTGGGTGCATGAAATAGGCCCACAGTGTAAATTGTGTGTACACAGTGTGACAGCCCCATTTTTCATCCAATCTAATGCAAGCTGTGGTTAGAAAGTATGGATGGATGACTCTAGTTCTATTCACATTTACCACCATCCAATGAGGACATGGATGGTGCCCTTACAGAAAACACATGTCCTCCCTACTGAGGTTGAGAAATCTCTGACTGGGGCCAGTTTCTCATTTATGAGATAGATTTTCGGGTATGGCTTGCGGACTTGGTTCCATGTAAATTGCCCTTAAAAAGGAAGCTACAAATTCAAGTTGTGATTATGCAACAATATCAAATCTGACCTACATGAGCCTAAGAAATTCTGAGATGCAATGTGTGGGTCTCAAACACTGTGTTCTACATTTTGAGCCTTGTTGATTTTGGTAACAGTGGCAGACAGTGATCAACATTACAAGCCCCAGGCAGATTACCCTGGCTCTGGGCAGGTGATGACCACTCACACAAAAGCTAAATCCCCTACTCTCCCTTGTCTCACAGACAAGTTGATGACTTAAACGTAAACACTGTGTAGTACCAGTATCGGTTGCCATTGAGTCGATCCAGACTCATACGACCCCATGTGTATCAGAGAACTGTGCTCCACAGGGTTTAAATGGCTGATTTTTCAGAAGTAGATCTTCATGTCTTTCTTCTGAGAACCTCTGGGTGGACTTGAACTTTTAACCTTTTATTAGCACTCAAGCACATAAACTGTTTGTACTACCCAGGGACTCTTTATAGAGCTTAATTTACCTTAATTATGCACCAGCAGATTAAATTTATACCCCCGTTTGGTGAATTGAGCCTTCTCCTGCTCTCAGCTTTCTGACATGTGAGGTGTGTGAGCCAAGAGTTGCAGGAGGCTGGGACGTTAAAATAACGCACCTTTCTAAGCAGATAGTTTGCCCAAGCCTGTATCATGAGGGAAGAAGTAAGGGCCAGGCTGCCTCAAAGTACTGCTTTTAGTTATAGTTCTGCTTTGTCCAGTCAAAACTCAGGAGAGGCAAACGAAAACTCGAAACACATGAGAGATAAAAGAATAATACATTCATTCTCCTCATCATTCTATTGCCATTTGCCTTCCCTACTTTGCCTCCCTGGTCTGGTTTTTAGCAACCCAAGGGCCTGGGTCCTGGATTAAGAAAGTGAGGTAGATGTAGGTTTCTATTTGGAGTGTGTAACTTAGGAAAAGCAGGACCCAAAATGTGTAGTGACAGAAAGGTGAGGGTCTCTGAAATCTTTACTGCTTCTTGTTGTTAAACCAAAAAAAAAAAAAAGAAACCAAACCCATTGCTGTTGAGTTGATTCCAACTTGTAACAACCCTATAGGACAGAGTAGAACTGCCCCATAGGGTTTCCAAGGATCAGCTGGTGGATTTGCACTTCCAGCATTTTGGTTAGCAGGCAAGTTCTTAACCACTGCACCATCGCCGCTGTCAAGTCAGCCCTTGACTTATGGCGACCCCATGCACAATGGAACAAAAACACTGCCGGGTCCAGACCTACCTCCATGATCAGTTGTGATTGGACGAAAAGGTTTTCACTGGTTGATTTTTGGAAGCAGATCGTCGGGCCTTTCTTCCTAGTCTATCTTAGTCTGGAAGGTCCACTGAAACCTGTTTAGCATCATAGCAACACAGAAGCCTCCACTAACAGAGGGGTGGTGGCTCTGCATCAGGTGCTTTGGCCAAAATTGAACCTGGGTCTCCCATATGGAAGGGGAGAATTCTACCACTGAACCACCTATGCCCTCACACTGCTTCCTTAGCACCTTATAAGTGAGTAGAAGTGAGGGCTAGACTTCAAAATCTATAGCTTCCTAACCAGAGCTTCCCACTGGGACCCCCTGGACAAGCTATAGAAGGTGTCAGTGATCAATATTCTTGCTGGGAGGAAAAGACCACAGAGGGAGAGTAAGAATGAACACCACGTTATTTTCTTTCACTGCAGGATCACGGTTGGGCAGTGCTTTGTATCTAGCAAATAAAAAATGTTGAACAAGAAATCCTTTCAAGGCTATCTCAATTTAGGATTTTCACACTTAGGATTGAGGACGGGTGCTACTTCTGTTGAAAAATCAGGGCTGTCCTGCCTACTGAGACTGCCTGTTGTAATTCATTTCTTCCTCATCACAAAAGAAAAGGTATCATTGTGTTTTCCCTTCAAATCTGCAAAATTATTTTCTCTGGGAACACTGTGTTCTGCAAATGGAACATTAAAATAAGTAGTCAACAAGAGGAGATGGAGCATACGGGGAAATGAGCTAACATACTACAGGGTCAAAAGGATGAGAAAGTCTGTTCTACTGAAGGCAATTCTCCTCTTTCTAATGTTGACTACCCTCTTCCAGGATTTTCAGTGGCCAATTTTTTTTTAGTCTTTGTTTATTGTTGTAGTTTAAGTTCAAGTTAGTCTATTATACAAAAATTTATACATTGTTATGTGACCCTAATTGCTCTCCCTATACTGTGACAGCACACTCCTCCTTTCTACCCGATTTCCCATGTCCATCCAACCAGCTCCTAACCCTGCCTTCTAATCTCACCTTCGGACAGAAGCTGCCCATTTAGTCTCATGTATCTACTTGAGCTAAGAAGCACACTGTTCACAAGTATCATTTTATGTCCCACAGTCCAGTCCAATCTTTGAAGAGTTGGCCTCAGAAATTGTTTTAGTTCCGGGCTGATAAAGAATCCAGGGCCATGCTTTCCAGGGTTCCTCCAGTTTCAGTCAGACCATTAAGTCTGGTCTTTTTACTAGAATTTGAGTTCTGCACCCCACCTTTCTCCTGCTCCATCAGGGACTCTCTATTGTGTTCCCTGTCAGGG